TGTGCTCAGCTGGTAATGTCTTTCTTTTTTTTTTTTAAATTTAATTTTATTTTATTTGTGAACATACTATACAGAGGGGTTACAATTACATGGGCAGGATAATGCGTACATTTCTTACCAAGCATTGCAGCCTCCTCCTTTGTTTACCCTTCACCTCCCTTCCCAGCCTCCCTCCTCCCCCCTGGTAATGTCTTTCTCTGCTCCTAACCCTTACATTTCTACAGCAACCAGCTCTTTTCCCTTGGCAGTTAATTGCAATTAGTAATTGTAAATTTATTAATGTTTGTGCCTGTTAGAACATTTCTCCCTTCCATTAGAGAATTATTGTTATAACGGAAGGAGTTCTAGAAAATATGCATCTTGAATTTAGGTTAATATTTTTTAAATACTTATGATCTCATGGGAACATGCTGTACTATTTGAGTCCCAACCTTTTTGCTTTTAGTTATGAGGTCTGCTTTTGCCTGGATTGTCCTTGAATTGCAATTTTGTTGATCTCTAATTCCCAAATAGCTGGGATTGCAGATGTGAGCCACTGTGGTGGGCCCTAAACACTTACTTCTTGATGAAGTAGTGTTATATAAATTAGCAGAAAGGCACATGGATAAGAGCTGTAGAGGATAATATATTGCCAATATAATGGAGAGATTTATAGGAGATCACTGAACAGCACCAGTTGGTAGAAATCCTTAAGTGTGAAACCGAAAGATATGACATTGTTAGATTTTTTTCAAAATGCTATAATAAGCCATTAAGTTTCCACTAATACAGTCTACCTTTTTCAATTGAAAGATAGATTTCATGGTGAAGAATATTATCAAATGTAAATAGACTGAACTCTCTAAAGACAAAAGCTGCTCATGTTGCATATACACACACCTATAGATAAACACACTTGTGCATGCACATATATGTGTGTTTAGGGGTGGAGAAGTATTCACTTTAATATGTATGAAAGACTTCAGATTTCAAAGATATGTGTGTGTGTGTGTGTGTGTGTGTGTGTGTGTGTGTGTGCGTGCGTGCGCGCGCGTGCGCGCCAGTCCTAGAACTTTAACTCAGGGCTTCAGCACTTTCACTGAGCTTCTTTGCTCAAGACTAGTGCTCTACTACTTGCACCACAGCTCCACTTTTGGGTTTTTTAATTTTCTATTTTTTTGGTGGTTAATTGGATAAAAGAGTCTCACAGACTTTCCTGCCAGGGCTCATTTGGAACCTTGATGCTCAGATCTCAGCCTCTTGAGTAGCCGGGATTATAGTCATGAGCTACTGGATCCTGGCTCAAAGACTCCTTTTTTAAAAGGAGAAAGAGATCTTTGAAAGAAAAAAATGGGGGAAAATAAACAAAAAAAAAGAAAATTACAAAGACTGTATTCTACAGTGATGAACATACATCTACATATGAGAACTATATTGGGTAGAGAGCACTACTAGTTCACTGATCTTAATGTTGCCATACCTTCTTTGCCTCTCGCCTCCACCCATGGTCCCCATATTCCAAATGCCACTTTCTTCCTAGTAGTACCTATTCATCTGCACTCATTTGAATAGGAGCCTTCATTTTCTAACCAAAGAAAAATAAGGAAACTTAGCAGTGATGAATCAGATAGAAAGAGTGTTAAGAAGAAATTGTAAAGCTAATTAATCAAAGTTTCAATCATATTGCTGACACTTTTCTGTTGTGTGGGCCCTTGGCAAATTATTTAAGTCCTGGCTTCACTCAGCTGTAAAAGAGGAATACCATGGCTGTTATAAGTATAAAATGATAAATATATATAAAGTGTTTATAGTAATTGGCTATTAATATTGGAAATTAATTGGAAGGTGGCTCATTGGTAGAGCACTTGCCTTGCATGCATGAGGTCCTGGGTTCAATTCCTCAGTACCACATAAGCAGAAAAACCCAGAAGTGGCGCTGTGACTCAAGTGGTAGAGCACTAGCCTTGAATTGAAGAACTGAGGGACAGTGCCCAGGCCCAGAGTTCAGGCCCCATGACCAATGAAAAAAAAGGAAAATTAATCAAATGAAGATTATGATATACTATTTATTCATTGTCTGGCCCGTGGATGCACAGTTCCTATGACTGAACAGATAAGAACCCCAAACTGATGTATTCCTCAAGGAAGGGCCACAGCTGGAGGAGCTCAGGATTTAGGCAACTTTGTCTTGGGTGGGGTTGGAGCAACACCTCTTCTCACCACCACTGCACTCTTCTGGCATCCCATAACCCTGGAATGTTTGCAACTGATGGCTATTCAGTAAAGCAGTGAGGGAAAAGAACAGAGGTCTAACAGCTGTGACCCAACAGCCAATTTTAGTAGAGACTTAAAATAGCTTTAAATACCTGTACTATACTACCGTGGGGATTCTCAAAAATAAATTGGGAGGGTTTTGAAGGGAGAAAGAAAGTCTTGTGTTATGATGATAAGTTACCATACTGGCCATTGCTTGAAATAAATTCCTTGCTGGTAAGATTGACATCCAAGAAGACAGTGCGTCCTACCCCCCTCCCTTCCTCCCTCCCTCCCTCCCTTCCTCCCTTCCTCCTTTCCTCCCTTCCTCCCTTCCTCCCTTCCTCCCTTCCTCCTTTCCTCTCTTCCTCCCTTCCTCCCTTCCTTCCTTCCTTCCTTTTTTTTTTTGGTTGGTCATAGGACCTGAACTCTGGGCCTGAGTGCTGTCCTTCAGCTCTTCAGCTCAAGTCTAGCACTCTACCACTTGAGCCATAGCACCACTTCCGGCTTTTTTCTGCTTATGTGGTGCTGAGGAACCGAACTCAGGGCCTCATTCATGCAAGGCAAGCATTCTACCACTGAGCCACCTTCCCAGCCCTGACAGTCTTATCTTTTTATCTACATTCTTTTGGTTCAGCATTGACAACAGCTATCGGAGACAGGTGGTCCATTTTTGTCACATGAGAATTTGCTCTGTGAGTGACTGTTTTGGGACAAGAATGGTTCATGAGATCTGTGAATCTTTCCTCTGGCTATTTGCTGCTCCTGATCCAAGTTGAAGAGCTTAATTTCTGGTGCTGTTGCTATGGAAATACTGCCACCAACTATTTTCCAAATACTGTGGAAAAGATGACAGGACAGCTGCTCCAACCATCACTCATCACTGGTGGGGAAATAGTTCGCATGCTTCTTAAGGGTAGGGCACAACTCTCTTGAACTTTTATGTTTTTTAGAGAGAGAACATTTAACAAAGAGAACCTAATAATTAAAATTACATACATTTGTCTCAAGCATTCCACTGATTTCCTTCTTTTTCTAAGTGCAGTAATGAATATTAGTGGATTTTATGTAAGATTAAGCTTGGGTTCATACTCTCACCCTGTCAATTTATTAGACCTCTCTCACCTTCAATGTCTTAAGTCTGTAAAATGGGGATAAATATGCTACCCATCTCCCAGGGACATTGTAAGCCTTAAGTAAAACACTGGGTAAGTGTATACTATTTTGTCTAACACTTGTCCTACAACTAGTTATTATGGAGTTGTTGTGAATAAGTGATTATAATCGATTCATTGGTTCTTCCCTGTGTTGGTTCTTTCAGGGAGTTAATGTCATCCCAGACAAAAGCAATTATTAAAACTACTGATAATAGTTTACGGCCTCCATTTGTCCCCAGTAGACTTTTGCATTCAGTGGGAGGATCAGACGGGTCAGGACATCAGGATTGTTGTATACATCAAACAGCAACAGATCACAGCTATGAGGAAATATCAAACCCAGATAGCTACATATCAAACAGTAAAAACAATTCTCGTTTCATATCAGCATCCAAGAGAAACAGGCATGTCAGGGCTCTGGTGGGTCAACTGAGGTAATCAAAGCTGCTCTCTGTTCTTTCTGACTGATTGCCGAAGGTCTTTCCTTTGAGCAGAATTTATAGTGATTCAGTTGACTATCTCAGACATTAAAATATAACCTACCTCTTGGGTTTTGTTTATTTTCCTTTCTTTGAGAGCACCAGAGTAGAATGTTGCTAATTACACTGTGGAAAATATGAGATGCACTTCAAACTGAATAATCAAAAACTCTTGAGAAGTATTTGAAGCAGAATCAGGTTGGAAACAGGAAATAATCTTGCTGACAGGTTATTTCCTCTAGAAAGAAATGTATACTTTTGATATTTAACCAATATTTTGAAACAGAGTTGAACTGAAACAAGCTTATTATAAAACTATTTTGTACATGTTTTCATATTGAGATTATTGTAATAAACTATTCAAAATTCAGAGGCAGAAAAAAGTCGCTGAAAACCAAAGTCAAACTAAGAAACTGAAATTTCCATTACTTTTAGGTGTTTGAATAAGTGAATATATTGTATACATTTACCTGAAGTTTTTTAAACTTTAGAATGCCAATTTTGCTTCTTATAGAACTATAATGTAATATGGTTAGAGAATTCTGGTCAAGAGGTTATTAGTCAATGTGCTGTGTACTTGTTCTAAGAAAATGGTAAAGATAAAACCTGGTTTTGTTTAAAAAATACAACTTAGAAATCTCAATTCTGACTGCCCCAAATAGATTGAAATGAAGATGATACAACTAACTTTAGAGTCAAGTTTTAGTTATAATAACTTACTTAAATTTCTTCAATTATCTTTTAGGTCAAAGAACTTTCATAAGCATGAAAACTTGGCATTTTCTATTTCATGATATTAAAACCATATTATTATAATTTTTGCTGTCAGAACATGATTATGTCTATTATCTATCCATCTGTCTCCTATCACCATCTAATTTTTCATAAGTGTTATTGTTATTTCATAAGTGTAATGATAAAAATGAGTTATTCTGGGATATGAACAATGGTGATAAGTATTTGTATGCATTTGGATATTTAAGTAATGAGAATCTCATTCTTTAAAGGTTTGCTAAGGAATACTCATATCTGTAGGACAGTCTTTAGGGTCTATATTTGAAGAAGAAATTTGAAAAATAAACAATATCATCATGAATATGTACCAATTTTCATGTACTTTTTTCTTTTTTAGAGTTTCAGAAAATTCCCTAACATTTCATTCAGCTCAGAACTGGCAAAGATTGTCTAAAAGATACAAACTTCAACCAAGAGTGATTAAAGTAACAGCTTACAAAAATGGATCTAGAACAGTCTTTGCCAAAGTTACTGCACCAACCATCTCCTTGGTAACTAATATTCCGAGTGTTCAGAGCTGTGTTTTCTCACTCTCTTTAGAATATAGAATAATGAGAAAAATGGCATTTATTGTGTTAATTTTTTTAGAAATTTAAATCTGTAAGTTGTTGCTATATGTAAATCTCATGGATGTTTCATTCCTTTTCTTTTAAGAATCAGTATAAAAATAGTGTAGTTAGCAAAAAAAAAAAATAGTGTAGTTAGCAACTAGTTGATTATATAACTCATATGACATTGCTTTTATAGTGTTATTAGAAATGACACATGGTTTCAAAATTAAAATTAGAAATTCTTATTGCTGTGATTTACCTTTTATTTCCATGTTTTCAGCTGCTAGAAAAATACAGTATATTAATCGAGTTACTAAACTTGACAAGTGATACAATTGAGCTTCTATTTTGATCATTAGAACCTTATATCCTGTAGAAATGTTTTACTTTGCTGTAAATCACTTTGTCTTACCTCTTACTTCTTCTAGTTGCTGGAGGAGTGCACGGACAAGCTAAATCTGAATACGGCTGCAAGGCGAGTGTTCTTGGCAGATGGCAAGGAGGCCCTCAAACCTGAAGATGTACCCCAAGAAGCTGATGTTTATGTTTCAACAGGAGAGCCTTTTATAGATCCACACAGAAAAATTAAAGGTGAAAAAGGAATGAAAAAAAATCTCTACCCTCACACAAAGTACATTGCTTAAGGGATACAATTTTAAAATGATTTTCATCCTGTCTCTTTTGCATGGTTTAACAAAACTAATGTTTACGCATTTACAGCTCAGTAAGAGGATAATGTGCTTAATGAAAGAAAAATCCACTGACAGCCACGTTTATTGCCCTTCATTAGCATTGGTGCTTAATTTAATATAGATCTGAATAGACATTAGGGAGCCTGCAGGAGGTTAAATGGTGAAACTGTAATAAATTAAATCAGAGATTATTGAATTTACTGTTTAGTTTCTGTGACACTCAACAGATAAAATTCATTAGCCTTATTTTCCCAGAAAACAGTTCAAAGTTTTGAGTATAATCTATTTATTTCTACTTGTGGTTTTTTTCAGATCCATTAATATAATTAAGAAAATGTGGCCAGTAATGAACTTATAATTCTTGTATAGATGTAGTTTGCCTAAGAATATTTTTCATAAGATAAATGTTATGGCTTGATTTTAATTCCTTCATCAAAATATTACATAGATTTACATATTTACATATACATACCTGTATATAATATTTATTTTATATCTATGTCATGTTTTTTAAAGCCTATTGTTATTTGAGGATTTTCTAAAATTAAAAAAAATCTTTCTTTGGTGGAAAAGAATACATTTTAAGAGAGAAATAAAAATACCAGCATCTAAGGATAAGCACATTATACTCAGAGTTTGCTATCAAGTGCTATATATGATAATTGGATTTAAATAACATAGGGATTAGAACATGGCCATAAAAATTGAGTGTGTTTAACTGCTGTAATTCTCTGTGCTTTCTAGACCTTATTAGACATAATTTTTTTCCATAACTCCTATAAAGCTGGTGCATCAAAGGCAAGTCTAGGCAATAATTGCATAAATAAAAAAAAGTAATTCTGAGATTCATTACAGATGAGGTGATGAAAATTCCTCTTGTATGAAGATTATTATATGAAATGATGCTGAAATTTCCATCTCTTTCATAATACTTTATCATCAAAAAATAAGTAATATCTTGAATTCGCTAGAAAGTTCAAAATAATTTGGCCCTTGTAAAGAAACTTGTTGCTACAATGCTCATTAAAAATTCCCTATATTATAGAATAGACCCATACATGTTCAGATTTGGCTTTAAAATTAAAAGCATGTTATGTTATTTTGAATTCTTAGAAACACTTGTTATATAAAATTATGAATCTCAGTGAGAAAATATATTTCTATAACTAAAAAATTAAGATTTATATGATTGCTTTATTAAGATCTTGATTAGTTAATAAGAAATACTTATTTTATGAATAATGATATTATGGAAGATATAGCTATATAATGTACATATCCATACACACATACATGTATTATTTATATTCAAGCTACAAGAAGAAAATTTCCTAGACATTTGGCATAAAATAATAATGTCATACACTTGACTAAGTTCAGTAGATAATTTTTAAAAGTACAAACTAATTTCCTCCTACTTTTTATTTTTTCTTTTATCCTTTCTTTTCCAAGCCAAGTCTACAACAACAACAAAAAAACTTCTCTGCTTTGTCTGCATATCTTTGGCTGTGTTTCACTGTGACATGCACTGCTGTTCTTTTAGCACCAAAATGTTGGCACACATTCCTGAAAATTTCACACCATCTCTTGCTGGATCAGCAAGCTTAACCCACCAAAATCTGGTGTTGTGCAATGGTTTTTGACTGATAATCAATCTTTATGCTGCTCGACAGTTGTTGCTGGGACACGGAGTAGAGCAGGTGGCAGATGTGTCTGTCTTTTGAGAAAAGAAATTGTAGGTGAGCTTGGACACAGACTAGCATAACCCATGTCCATTAAAAAGACTTAGTGTAAGTATAATTGGAAAAAAACCCCTCATCTTAGTTATGTTCTTAGATAAGTCTGAGCATTGCTATATGATTTGTTTTGGAATGTTAAGTTTATATGTGCAAATATGTATGTATACATACACACATATATTTAACTCATTGTGGATGAACTGGCCATGTGTTATCCACATAGTCACAGAGTTTTTCAAATCATCTAAATCAGATTGATGCCTACCCTTTTAACATACCTTTCATAGGTTTATCAATAATTTGGCAACTTGATCACAATTTTTTAAAAATTCATAACTTTGAAGATAGTTGATAAATGTAGGGTGAAGAGACATTAAAAGTTAGAAAACTGAACATGCTAAAAGCATTTGGCAAGATTTGGTATTACTGGTAATTCTAAATGAGCATGAGTATTTTATATGCAATGAACCCAAATACGTTAGAGTCAGTACTATGTTTTTATTTTTAATTTACTGATTTTATCATGCAACAATTTTATTAGGACTTACTATGCCTAATAGATCCAATCAGACAGACAAAGGAGGGGATTATAGCCTAGATTTTTTTACATCTCTGATTCAAATTCAGTTTATTTCAATGTAAAAAATTTAAACAATAGAAAGTTTGATTAATTATTCTGTTACTAGCCCTGGCATAGGGATAGAAATCTTGTCCTTTAAACCACTTGAGTTGGGTAAACAAGTTTAAAATTATGTCAAAACTGAAAATACTATTCAACAATGTGATCAGCTGGATCTACCATTGCCAACAAATTTCATTTCTGATACAAGAAAGCCAAAGAAATCAATACATTCTTTGGCATTTATGTTTTTATACTGTGTTGGTCTCTTTATGCTTTGGAAAATCAACATGCATAGTGAAGTTTTCTAATGCTGGAAAGTAATGTTAGACTACTCACTAAGATAGCAAAAAAAAACTATAGAACATCTTTGATTTTTTAAAAACTATTTTACTGTTCCTTTTGAGCATCACTGTTGACAACCAGTGGCATTGCATTTAATAGAAAGCCAGAGAGCTATTCATCACATACCTCCAAACACAAAGCTTTCATTTGGAGGTCAAGCCAAGGTCAAAACTGACATGAAGCATTCCCTGTGGAAATACAATATTAGAAAAATCCTTACATTTTAAAGTTAAATGCCTAATCAGAAAGATTAATCATGGATGGGAAAATTTTTAAAAAAGCATTTTATATAATGACTACTGATGAAAATGTCTTATTAGGCCTTATAAATTCTAGCATTAAAAGATTCTGACATTTATTAATGATTATGCTAGAATTGTGGGGATGTAGTTAATGAATTGTTTCAAAAGGCATTTAAAAACTTTACATGTTCATGGCAGTGAGGTTTAGATTCTGTTCCCTGTTTACTAAAGCTTTTGCTTAATGATAATACAGAGAGAATTCTTGGATCAGCTCCATATGGTTTATGGGAGGTCAGTTTCTTTATAACAGCGAGGATCTATAGTCAGGGCAAACACATCCTCGTGATTACTTTAATGTCTCAAAGAACAAGGGGGAGAAAACTGCTTATGTCTAATACATTAGGTTCAAATTTCTCTTTTATGTAGCTCTGATTTACCTTTAAAATTACTTTCATATTGGTACTCTCCGTACATCCATCCTGTTCCATTTGGCTACCAGAGTTTTCATTTACACTAATTCATTTTAGTCTTGAGGTTTGTTAACTAGAAGTTAAATTGAATTTTATGAATAAGATTTTACATCTTAGTGTTCTTGGTTTTGAAGATGTTTTTCTCAAAAACAAAAAATCCATGAAGGAAGTCGTTGATACTACACCTAAGATCTAAATTTAAACCTAGATATTTCTCCTAACTCCACATGATCTACAAAATGAAATAATTTGCTGTGACAGGTTGTGATTGACAAGAATATGTGTGAGCATGTTTAAAATAGGCCATCTTTTCATGTAGAAGGAAATGTCAGTGAAATGATGGATTCTCATCATTTTAATTATTGATGATTTGGAAATATTTCAATTCCACGACACACAGGACACATTCTAAATAGCAGCATAACACTTTTTCTCATATATGCATCAATAATGAAATGTTCTGTCATATTTTATTTTTCAAAAAATGCATTAGTTTAATGAACCTGGACTCACATATTCTATTGTTTTGTTGTATCTCGCATGCGTTTGTTGATTTTTTAATGGTTGTGTTAAAAGCTTAAGTTTCAATAAATGACTCACTACCCACATTGTGCCACACCTCATATTCTGGTTGTTCTTAAGACAGATGTGATACTCCTGTGCCAGTTGCTGCTTTATCCTGCTAAAGCTAATGCTGGATTGTGGGGTGCCCACCTATAGGCAACCATGACTTAATTGAAGTAGCCCCAGGACTCAGGGTTGGCTTTCCCATTTCCCATCATTTTATTTAAATACTGTGTGTGTGTGTTAAGTGAGGTTATTGCTTCACTTTTCTCTCCCAATTATCTGTATGTACTCAAAAGCAGAGAAATAGCATTATAGAGAGAAAGAGAAGATTCTTGTATTTCTGTAACTAAGGGTAAAACTAAAGGCATATATTTTATGTATTTCCCAATTCCAAAAATTTTAAGCCTTTGATAAATGTGCATGTAATGATAATTACTAAAGATTTTCCCATAGCCAGAGGGAAAATGTAGAGAAGGTAGGCATATTGCTGGTAACATCTCCTTACACTGTCAAATATATAAAATCATTGAGAAACACAATTTTTTTAACATACTCATTAAATGTTGAAATGTATACATACACAGATGCTGCACTTAATACATCTTTATTGATTCCTACAAACCTGTCACTATCTTGATAACTTAAATGTCTGAATAGTTTCTGTATGATCATATACCTACCTATGCGCTTTGTGCCAATACTGGGGTTTGAACCTAGATCCTTGTTCATTAGCTCTGTTTGCTTGTTCACAGCTAGTGTTCCACCACTTGAGCCATATTGCCAGTCCTCCATTTTGCCCTTAGATATGAAGTCTCAAAGACTTTTCTACCTGGATTGCCTTAGAACTATGATCCTCAGGTCCCTTTCTAAATAGAAAACAGAAAACAGAACGTTATAATCTTAACTAAGATTCCAGA